ACTTTAAAAGCCACTAAATTCTCAGTTTAGCCTAGTTTATAGCAATGATTAAAGAAGAACAAAAACACTCATTGATAAATGTGCTAATTATTTCCTCCCAGGAGCTCAGCCACAAATTCATAACCAGGTTTCTGGAACAAATTTCTAGAATGTACTCAAACTCTGAAGAAGAAATATGCATCTCCTTTCCAACTAGCCGTCAGAGTGTTTTATTCATTTTTGATCATGAGAACACTATTTACACCAAAGAACATGTCTTGTTAGCTTCAAGCACTGTGTTTAAAACGATGTAACAGAGAAACTCTATGTTTGAATGCAAAACACCATAGGAATCACTGGCAAATCCAAAAATGAAAAACAGGTCTCTGAAATGCCCAGAGCCAGCTGCTACTGTCCAGAATCCAGCTCCTTCCAACAGCAGATCTGCATGAGCCACACAGCTTAAGTGGGAATGTCATCTCCTAAGGCAAGGTTCAGCAAAGTTCTTCTGTACAGGACTAGCTAGTAAATATTTCAGACTTTGTGGCCCTATAGTCTCTGTAACTACTATTCAGCTCTGCCTTGTAGCACCAAAGGAGCCAGACAATACATAAATGAATGAATGTGGCTGGGAGCCAATAAACTTTTAATTTCCTATAATTTTCATGTTTTATAATATATTATTCTCCTTTTGGTATTTTTCAACCATTTAAAAATGTAAATATCATTGTTAGTTCATACGCCACACAAACACAAGTAGCTGTTTTGGATCTGCTACATTTGGCCTATGGGCCACAATTTACCACGCTGGCCTAGTGCCCAGTTTTCCTTCAGCCTGTGCCTACTCCTTTCTCCTCCTTTTACGTAACCTGCAAATTATGTGTTTTCCCCTTTAGCAAAGCATTCCATTTGTTTCTCTAAGTCACTGATGCCCAGTTTCTGTTTCTTTCGCATAGGTCCCAAAAGTTCAAGAGAACAATTATGAGGTCTGGAAAGGCAAGCACAGCCTGAAGAAAAGGCACAGGCTTCTCTCCTATTGCTTTCCAGCTCTGTGAGTTTGTGCAAGTTATATAACCATTCCAAATCTCCATTTCACCACCTATTAAAAAACTTATGATACCCAACTACCTGAAAGTAATAGTGAAGGTACCACATTGGATTGAGTAAAACAGGTAAAGGGGGAAATACAATCTATGGAGAAGGGTTGCCAAACATGGTTGAGAAGGTAGCAGATATTTCACTTTTAAGCTGTTAAATCATGTAGCATATGGGTCCCCAAGCAGAGAAAGGAAGCTTGGTGAATTCAGGAAGTTCTGAGGGAAGGAGCAACTAACAATCTCAGTGACTGCGTGCTACTTTTCATAAATCTAATAGGCCAGAAACTCAATAAAGAAAACCTGAGAATGTCTTTGTGGCAAAAGAACAGTGTAGAAACTGAAGAGCATAAAAATGAATAAAACTCAGCCCTTCACTTTAAAGAGTTTATAATGTATTAAACACAAGGATCTATTGTACTAAGTAAATATGATTTGTATAAACCAACTACATTAAGAAGTTAAAAAGAACCAAACAAAAATAGCAAGGGGAAGAATTCCCTAGGAACTAGACTTAAACAATAAACAGGATTTCAAAAAACTAAAAAGGAAGGAACAGAAAGTTGAGACTGCTATTCATGCATATATCTAGGATTACAGGACATGTGGATTCTCAATTCCAGTAGACATTACATTGTTCTTAGCAGACACTGCACTTCCATCAACGGTAAATTCCCATCCTGTCGTTTGGTACGATCAGCGTTTACGATGTTTTATTCCATGTGATGGATAGTAAAAAGGTAGCTCAATTTAATTTTCATTTCTTGTCTTCACATTCTCTAGAGTTGTTTTATATGTGTGTTTTCATGAGAAGTAAAAGGCACTGTCTGTTTATGGATGATATGTCATTCTGTATGGCTGAAGCACAGAATACAGAAAGTGCAGAGAGGACAAGACCCTCTCTCTTCCAGAGGTTTCTCCAGGATCTTGCTCTTTCCCTCTCCACCCCATAAATTGCTGGTTTGCATCAGTAGATAGGGACAAACTTTTCCTTTTTTCCTTCAATGTACCACAGTAAATTAGAGAGTTTATAAACGAATGAATGTGGTAGAAAAATACTGGTCTTGACAGAAACATATGAAACCATTTCCTTTATTTTTGCCCAAAACTTGTTTTCTACCCAATTTAGATCACAGAACAGTAAGGTGCCTCAGAAAACACACATAAATTTGATTCAGGTCTGGAGGCCTGAAGGCAAAGACTTGGCAGGAATACTTCCACCCATTTCTTATCCCATCTAGAAGGCAAAAAGTGCAGGAAGGATAAATTAGGGTACGAAACTGATTTACTGGCACTGATTAGCAAGGTTCTGCCTCTGAAAGCTCCCATAATGATATAATTTTCAGGTAACAATTCCTATACATTATTTTCAGAGAAAATGATTATTTCAACCAAAATCTTTTTTAGTCTTTCCACGCACAGCACACAGAACTCTCAAAAATTTAACAAAAAGTGATGTTCTCAACTCTGATCAACAGCAGAGGTAGGAAAAATTATACTCCAAAAATTGATGAATGTGTATCACATTCCCAACTACACAGGTAAAATTGAAAATCACTATAAATATTTGTTTTCAAAAATAATTTGCTGTTATTATTCCAGTAACACTATAATGCCACATTGCCTCAAATACAAATAGATTTGTCTAATCCAGTGACTTTCTACCCTGGGCAATTTTGTCCCTCTGGGGACATTTGGCCTTTTTTTTTTTTTTTTTGCCTTTTTTTTTTCATGCTCAGATCAGAAACGGAACTACTGGCATCTAGTGCACGGAGGCTAAGAATACTGCTAAACATCAATGCACAGGATAGTGCCCAAAAGGAAAAAAGTGTCTGGCTCAAAAATGTCAATAGAACCAAGAAACTGTGATCTAATCCATTTCTTTCTGGTTAGCTGGGATACGTTGACAAATATACAGGGTTAGAGATAAACACTCTTCTTAAAGAACTACTATTAAGCTAGACAATTTAGAGTCCTTTAGAAGATCTTGTTATTGTTTGTCAACAAGTAAGTTTCCATTTAGTAATTTTCAGTTGAAATATGTAAAGAATAAAATAGACCACAGTCCATGATTCTGCCCACCTTATCAAGCAGTGTACCACTACATTTACTAGTTTATCACATAACCTATGAGAACACCTACCTACACCGAAATTTGTAATCAAACTGACTACTGCTGGCTTCACTAATCACAAATCAGTATTTTCCCACATTTAGGCCCTAACTGAATTCCCATGCCTGCTTACCAAAAGTGACCAGTCCACATATTTAAACAGTGTGCATTATGTAATCTTCTGAGGAAACTTTCATATCTAAAATTCCCTTTCTCTGATATGACAATCCATTAAAAGTTTACTGTCCAGTCCCATGAAATTTAAAAGCCAGAGTGAGAAAGGTAGTTGATTTTGACTATAAACATAAAGGCAGCTACAAAGGGATGTCCTCTATTAAAAAGTAAAGGGTGTTGGCAATGAAATGGAATAAAATATACAAAGGCCAAAGAGGCCTCTCTAAATATAACAAAGTCCTTAAAGGGTATCTTATTCCCCAATAAAAGTTTCCTTGGGTGTTTCAACAAAGACATTTTTTTTCTGGGGAATTTTTTTGTTTTGTTTTTCCTTTTTAAATGTCTCTATTTCCAATTTTGCTGAAGGCATTTACATTACTTTTTCTATATATTATGCTAGAAGAAATATTTTTAAATTATGCAAAAGTTTAGTTCAAATTTAGAGGAATAACAGGGGTTCAGAAATCCTTTTTTAAATGGCCACGTATACCTAACAGAAAGAAAAGCATCCTGTAACTGATAGAAAGCCATCTGAATGGTGAAGTTTCTTAAGCTAACAAAGCAAGCACTGTTTGGTAGGAAATGTAGAAAGATGGGCAGTTCAGCCGTTTTCTGAAACACTTAAAGATGAAGACAAAACTACTGCTACATGGATTACTGGACTGTAGACCAAATGCCACTTTTTGAATGTAACTCTTAAATAGAAATTTCTATCCTTAGGCTTAAGAAAAATTAAGTGGAAAAGCACTTATTAACTAAGGGGAAAATCGTGCCAAAATAACTTTAAAAAAAAAAAAGGCCATTTAAATGCAAGATCTAATTTCAGAGAGTTGAGCACAAATGTGGAAAACAAGGATTTCTCATGTGCTGCAAAAGGCAGCAAAGCATGTTTAGACAAACGTAGTGAAACTCTCTTTAATCTGGCTAAATGTAAAAAGTTTTGTTTTACATGAACTTGACTAGACTCTCGCTGCAGTTCCAGCTTCTGAAAACAAGAACAGCACTGGGCTCAAGAAAACGGTAGGTAAGGGGAGCAGCTGTGTGTCCACAGCTTCCCCTTCAAATCCCAAAGGAGGAAAGCTGCCGCCTGGAGATACTCGGTAGACAGGCAGCCTTACTGAAAGCAACCAAGGTTTTTGAGCGTTGTTTTTGGCAAGAGGGAGGTGTTACGGGCTGCTTCCTGGGGTGCTGGAAGGAATGTGTCACCATCAATCAGAAAGTACACTAAGCCCCGTGTTCAGTTCACAGAGGACTACAGCCTCGTCCATCACGGTAAACCCATGCCAACTCGCAGAAAGGAGGAGAAAGGAGAGCTGCAGGAAAGGTGTTGGTGCCCATGACCCGAAGGTCCAAAAGGAAACTTCAACTTGTTCTGCAGGGGAATTCGGGCACGCTGAGTTCTCCGAGAACTCCAAGGAGCCAACGGGGGCGGGTGCGCCTACACTTCCCCTGAGACCAGCGCCGCCACACCGCAACTCCGGGGAAGCTAGTGGGAGCCTGTCCCTCCCTGGAGAGGAGGGACAGGCCTCCACTAACTCACCTGGCCAGCCCCGCGGAAGGGCTGGTGGATGAATGAACTGCCACCCCCCACCCCCCACGGCCGGGCCTCGCGGGACAGCGGCGGACCGCGGGGTGCTCACCTGTGGGGATGCTCGAGGGCTTCTCCGAGTCCGCACTTAGGCAGGGATTCCAGGGGTGAAGGACGAGCACAAGGAGCAGCAGCTGAGGCGTCACCGTGCGCCCCACCATGTTCGGCCCTGGAGGGCCGCGCGGGCTCCGGCGCCCACGGCCCCGCAGCGCCGCACTTCTCGCGAGAGCGCAGGGACCCAGGTCCGCCCCGGGCTGAAATTGCGGGCGGGAGCAGGCGGGCGAGGCGCGCGGCTGACAGCCGGAGCGGCGCGTAACGCAGCGGAGTCAGTCGGGTCGTCGGCGGAGGCGCACAGCAGCTGGCGCCGCGGGCGCTGCGACGCCTTATAGGCTCCCTGAGGGGAGGCGACGGGGCGGGCCGCGCCCTGGCTATTGGCCGCCCGCTGACCTGCCCCCGCCGCGCGCTCGGTGCGGTCGCCTCCGCTCGCCCTCCCGGGCCCGACGTCTGGACTGTTTGCTCAGCGCGGACGCTATTTAAGGAGCTGCCTGCGGCTACGTGTGGAGGCTCACGCGGCGCTTCTGGCTGAAACCGGGAAGCCTGCACTTTGGTTTGGGAGTGGGTTTGGGAGAGGGAGGAGGAGCCGCCGGGAATCTGGCGGGAGGGCGGTGCTCCCGTCTCGGTTCCTGTCTGCTGCCTCAGGAGCTTCCACAGCAGCCTCGAAGGGCCAGAAGTTGCTCTTCTGCGGACTTGGATACTCCAGCCAATCTGAAGTGACTGCACTTCTGCAGCAATCTTGGCTGAATGGGACCTCGCCAGGCGCTAAGCCATGGAAAATGGATCGCCCCTCATTAATTCGGGGGCAGGTTCATCACCCTGTAAAAGGAAGGCTGTGCTTTTATTTGACTTCGTAAACCGAAACTTTTATTGTCCGGTGAACATTTCTTGCTCCGTCGCTTGTGCCAAGAGAGCGTTAGACGCTTTCCAGTAATGAGGCTTGTAAATCCTGCGGAATCGGAGCCCAACGTGTGTAATCCCGGGGCTGTGCTTACAAGATCTTCCACTCCACATGGAAAATTACTCACAAAGATAATGTCGGAGCGATGGAGTTCTCTGAGCCTTGGTCCCCACTGCTTCCACTTTTGACTGATGTCTAAGAAAATTCCAGTTGTTGTTGTTACTGTTCTCACATTTTAACTAGCCAAGGGTTGAATCTGTTGGAATGAGTAGGAGCAAAAGCACAATTAAGAAAAAAAGCTTGACAGTTTTGCCTCATACATTCAATGACATAAGCTATCATATAGGAGAAAGAGAACCAGACTGCTGCTACCATTCTGGAATCTTCTGCCTAAATTTTCTTGAAATGAGAAAAAAACAGAATCAAGACAACACCCGTTTTAACTCTGGGTCTTTGAAATTAAAACAGAAAATTGTGGAAAATATGTCCATTATGATCACATTTTGTCTAAAATTAACACAAGATAAGATGAGCTTAATGCTTTCATCTTATCTTGAAAGCATTAAAAACAGGTGGAAAAGCCTGCAAAGAAATGTTGCCTGGGATGTGACATTTTAGAAAAGAATCATTTCCTGTGTCCAGAACTAAGCCAGTTATTAGTCTGAAGGTTTTGAAGGTTTCCTCTCAGTTTTTTTAAAAGAAGAGGAAAACTGGAGAAAGTTCTGAGAAGAGTAACAAATAATTAAAGAAATGGAAACTATGACTTGTGAGAATGAAATAAGGTTTATTTAGTCTGAAGAGGGAAAAAAAGCTAAAAGATGGATGCCTTAATAACAGCCTTTTGTGTGTGAAAAACACAGCTTCATAAAACTAGGCACAAAGCAAACAGCATCAGTCGTCTCAGTCCAAGAACTCCGTTAGGAATGGCTGGTGTTTTGGCCAAATCTGTCTCCAGAAATCCAAACCAGTCATTGACAAACTCCTTGAACTTGACTTCTTGCTTCCTTGGTTCTCAGTATCTTTAAGACCTTGCACAGCTAGAACCTGGCTTTCTGGAACCTCCCACACCTCTCATTCCCCTCATGCACACTTAATGGCCTCTCTACATCGCAGGTGTATGTGGGTGTTTAAACTCCAAAAGTCCACTAATAATTGCAGATTACTATGACATTCTTCCTGCTCTGTGAAGATTCACAATGTCAGTACAGTGAGAGTCATAGAAATCAACTGTTTCTTTGGGATTTTCAAATACCTAGACACTTCTAACACAGTCTGAAAGAGCCCCAATTCTGAAACCAAATCCTTCCTGCCTTCTTATACTTCCAGTGGTCTGCTGAAGATTTCTACTTGGATGTTCCATTGGCAGAAACTCGGTATGTCTTTTAACTCATCAAATCCAGATCCCACTCAGCTCCCTCATCTCTGTTGATACTATTGCTCTCTAACTCATAAGGCCTCAGACATTTTTACTTCTCTCTTCCCATCCCCCACACCCACCAACTCAAAGAGCTGGACTCCAAATCTTGTCATTTTTTCCCTTTGTGTTGTCTCTTCATCTATTCCTTTCCATTCTCACTACTACCTCACTAACTAATGCACTCTTGAGTATATCCTAATGGTGCTGTTTCCTGTAGACTTTCCCCACCACCAGTGTGATACCACTATATACCACAACTAGATTAATCATACTCAGATATCCTTTTGATTGCTTCATCACCAAACAGATTTCATAACAGATCTGGAAAGAATCCAAATTCCCTAACCTAGTAGTCAGATTCCTTCATGCCAAACTAAACCCAACCCATGTAGTTTCCTTTATTATCTCCCAAAACAGACCAAATACTTTGTCACTTTAATTTTCTAAAGTTTAGGTAGGAATCATTTGGGTTCCTCCGAAGGCCAAGCATGAGCCCAAATTCAGTGACAAGCAGTTTGTGGAGTTTCGAGAAAACAATATAAGTGAAGTAAAATAACAGAGGAAAGGGAAAATATCCAATTAAATCAGCCACAGTGTGTAATTGGAGCTTAATCCCACAAAATTGATGTGCTATACATCACTCAGAAATATCCTGGTCAATGGGTCAGAGAACTGGGATATTATATTCCCAAAACCTATCAGTCATTGACTTAAAGGCTGAGGGACACTCATTAATTCCCAGGCCTTCCCGACTGCTATGGTAGCAGCCATTCCAATGATGTAACTCTTGATCATAATAAGTCAGGGTGGCATGCTCAGAAATGGTAAGGAAATTTGAGGAGAAATGAGAGAAGCAGCAGTTGCTCAGCAATCATACCTTTGTTTATGTTATTCTATATCTAAAAAAGACAAAATCTGTCCTCCTTCCTTCATTGGACTAATGTCTATCAAGCTCAAGTGCCACTTCCTACAGGAAGCCCAACTGGGGTAACTTGCACTACCTCACAGGCTGGGTTAGATGTCCCTGTTCCATGATTTCTAACTTCTGAAGCAAATCTCTCTCATTTGTGACAGGGTCTTTTCTTAGAATTATACACTCTGTTTATTGAGGTCAGAATTCAATTATTTTTCATCATTGAAGAGTAAGTACCATAGTAGCACATTTATTTATTCATTGATTCATTCAAAAAACATTCCATGACCACTATATCTCAGGCGCTGTTCTAGATAGATGTTGGTAAAAATAACTTATCAGTGACAGAAAAAACAAAAATCTATTGTACTTCCAGTTTCAGGTGAAACAAAGAGATAAGCATATTATGGTAATAAGTGATACAGAGAACGTAAATCAGGAAATGTAACTGGGAAAGACCAATAAGGAGGGGAGATATACTGAAACCTTAGTAAAGAGTCCTGGGAAAGCCCCACTGCAAAGATGATTCTTAAGCAAAGACCTGAAAGTGGTGAGAAAAAGAGAGGACCATGTTGTACAGGGGACCTGTGTTCCAGGCAGAAGAAACAGGAAGTGCAAAGACTGTGAGGCAAAAATACCTGGAGTGTGAGGAGGCAAGAGGGCAACTGAGTGTTCAGTGACTGTGGGTAAGAATAGTGTGAGATGAAGCCTGAGACGTAGCAAGCAGGGCAGAGGCAAGCAGATTAAACAGATAGTGTGTTAAGAGTAGAGCCTGATAGCAGCTTTGTCCTTTACCCTAAATGAATCAAAAAGCCATTTGGATGATTGTAAGCAGAGCAGTGACATGATCTGAAGTAGGATTTGAAAGGGATCACAGAGTCCACAGCTGCCACAATAGAGGAAGATAAGGGAGGGCGAGTGGTGAATAAAACATAAAGCCTGTAGACCAATTTGTAGGCTAATGCAGTGGTGCTGATGGAGGCTTTAAGCAAGTCAGTAGCAGTAAATGAGGGTCAGTTTTCAGATAGATTTGAATGTAGAGCCAGCAAAATTTGATGGTTTGAATGTGGGTGTAAGAGAGAAAAAGGAGTCAGAGAATATTTATGCAATGAATATTTGTGGAGTGAATAAGAAATAAAGCTTTAGGAATTCATGTAATAACCCTGGAGGTACAGAGGAAGGGGGATGTTAAATGAATTAGAGGACAAAGAAAAACCACCAGACATCCAAGAGCTGAAACTCAGAGAAGGCGGACCCTTCGAGGAAGGAGAAAAAAGAAATCAGCAAAGGACTGTTAAAGTCGGACAAATAGGAACACAGTGTTACAGAAGAGAGACTTGGCGAAATAGGAGGAAGCCTCAGGGAAGTCATTTATTATAGCATAGGGAAACACAAGTTTAAGATCAAAACTTAAATGGGAGCAGAAACCACAGTGAACGTAAGATATAAACTGGAGATGAGGGCTTGGAGAACACCATGAAGCAGAGCTTTTGTGCTGTGACTCTTCATTTTAAATCAGGCCTCTGCTGCAGATGGTCAGGGGATGACCTCTCTAATTTTAGGATGATCGAGTTGCCACAAATCTTAAGCTTTCCCTAATATATAAGAGGTTTGCAGTATAGTCTATAGGCCCCAGCCGTTTCCTAAATTCTTTAAACTGTAATTTGACAAGAATGATTTACCAGGTGACTTTTTCAAGCTAAACATCTTTTCAAACAAAACCTGTGTGACAAAATAAAGTGACCTGCTTAACACATTAAAACAGGTTTCTTCCTGCAACCAAAACAGTCATTTATTACAGGAAAAATGAACATGGGTTATCTTCTGAGGTGCTGTGTTTCTTTTGTTTCTTATTTGTGTTCAAGAGAGGACCAGGACACTTTAAAGTATATTTTTAAAATAACACTAGTTGTATGTTTTAGTCATTTTAGTGTGCTTATCTGGAATCTTCTTTAGGTGGATATGAGTTGTGAAACCCTTGTACCTAGCAAAGTGATGTCAGATGTAAAACTAAACTCAGCCAAGTGTAAAGTAAGAAGAGCAGGCCAGGATAGGAAAGAATGCCAGCAAACAC